ATTCTCCAAAATCCAACCTCAAACTTACTAGACTAGAGCTCAGCTAGAGCAGCAGCAGATCTAGAAGAGAAGAAGAGGAAACGCAGAACAGAACAAGAAACGAGACGAAGGAAGGGTGAAATTTGGGTGGAGTAGAGGCAGTGTTGCCACTTTTAGGGTAATTACCCTTTTTTAGGGTAATTTACTAGTCTTAGGGTAAAGTTTAGGGTAATGGTAGATTTAGGGTAATTTTAGGGTAAAGCAAAAAGTTAGCATAACAATGGAAATTTAACTAAAAACATGAAAAGAACATCAAAATTTGGCAAAAAACGTTCATTACATATTATGGCCAAACCGTCATATGCGATTCAACCGGTTTATAGTTAATCGATCTAATCAATAGCATAGATAAATCATCGATTATCTATTTTAGATTGTATTCAATTCAATTCTATAACACGTTATAATAAAATATGAGATATTATTCATTACTTCTTGACTAGTAGTACGCTTATTCTGCGCGTAACGGGATGAGTGAACATGAGCGCAGTAATGAAAGAGTCCACCCACACCTAGCCTACTTACCGGTGTCACTGGTTAACACAATGTTATTTGTATGGGTATAAACCAAAGTCATTGGTAATATACGTAATGGATTTCCAATGTTATCGATAGGAGGTAAATCCATCGTTCCTGTACAACATGTCTTTTGATTAAATGAAGCATATTTCCATATTTGTTATGAGGCCTATCATAAACAAAACAAAGCCAAACTGAACTAATCTAACTTATCCTAATTGCCAAATCTCGATGTAAGGAATCTCCTAAAAAATATCGTATGGCTTACAATGATGATTTAAAACGATATCGTAATTATATCTTCTAAAATGATTAAAAATCCAATATATGTTTATCTAACTAATGAATGGTTCTCACACTCCAGACTGCTCACCTCAACTACTTCCACCACCACTTCCTACGTCGTAAACATCTTTCCCTCCCTTCCTATGGCATTTTAGTATTGCAGGTACATTAACCTAACTGTCACAAAGGGTAACTGTCACTGCGGACTGCTCGCCTCAACTACTTCCATCACCACTTCCTACGTCGTAAACATGTTTTCCACCCTTCCTATGGCATTTTAGTATTGCAGGTACATTAACCTAACTGTCACAAAGGGTCCCGACACTCCGGACTGTTTGCCTCAACTACTTCCATCACCACTTCCTACGTCGTAAACATGTTTCCCTCCCTTCCTATGGCATTTTAGTATTGCAGGTACATTAACCTAACTGTCACAAAGGGTCCCCACACACCGGACTGCTCACCTAAACTACTTCCATCACCACTTCCTACGTCGTGGACCTGTTTCCCTCCCTTCCTTTAGCATTTTTTTTATTGCAGATCCATTAATCTAACTGCCAAAAAGGGTTCCCACACTCCGGACTGCTCGCCTTGACTACTTCCTTCACCACTTCCTACGTCATGGACCTGTTTCCCTCCCTTCCTTTAGAATTTTTTTTATTGCAGATCCATTAATCTAACTGTCACAACGGGTTCCCACACTCCGGACTGCTCGCCTCAACTACTTCCATCACCACTTCCTACGTCGTAAACATGTTTTCCTCCCTTCCTATGGCATTTTAGTAATGCAGGTACATTAACCTAACTGCCACAAAGGGTCCCGACACTCCGGACTGCTCAACTACTTCCATCACCACTTCCTACGTCGTAAACATGTTTCCCTCCCTTCCTATGGCATTTTAGTATTGCAGGTACATTAACCTAACTGTCACAAAGGGTCCCTATACTGCGGACTGCTCACCTTGACTACTTCCTTCACCACTTCCTACGTCGTAAACATGTTTCCCTCCCTTCCAATGGCATTTTAGTATTGCAGGTACATTAACCTAACTGTCACAAAGGGTCCCCACACTCCGGACTGCTCGCCTTGACTACTTCCTTCACCACTTCCTACGTCGTGGACCTGTTTCCCTCCCTTCCTTTAGAATTTTTTTATTGCAGATCCATTAATCTAACTGTCACAACGGGTTCCCACACTCCGGACTGCTCGCCTTGACTACTTCCTTCACCACTTCCTATGTCGTGGACCTGTTTCCCTCCCTTCCCCTAGCATGTTTTTATTACAGATCCATTAATCTAACTGTCACAACGGGTTCCCACACTCCGGACTGCTTGCCTTGACTACTTCCTTCACCACTTCCTACGTCGTGGACCTGTTTCCCTCCCTTCCTTTAGCATTTTTTTTATTGCAGATCCATTAATCTAACTGCCAAAAAGGGTTCCCACACTCCGGACTGCTCGCCTTGACTACTTCCTTCACCACTTCCTACGTCGTGGACCTGTTTCTCTCCCTTCCCATAGCATTATTAGAATTGCAGATACATTATTCTAACTGTCACAAAGGGTTCCCACGCTCCGGAATGGTCGCCTCGACTACTTCCTTCACCACTTCCTACGTCTTGGACCTGTTTCCCTCCCTTCCTTTAGCATTTTATTATTGCAGATCCATTAATCTAAATGTCACAAAGGGTTCCCACACTCCGGACTGCTCGCCTTGACTACTTCCTTCACCACTTCCTACATCGTAGACCTGTTTCTCTCTCTTTCCATAGCATTTAAATATTACATATATATTTATTTAACAGTCACAAAGTATTTCCACACTCCGCAGTGCTCACCTTTCCGCTTCCTTTACCACTCTCTAACCTGGACCTGTCCCCCCCCCCTCGCATAGCATTTTAGTATTACTAACATCTTTGAATATTTAATATTCAATGCCAACATTAAATTGAATAATGTAAAAATCTGCTTCGTTCTAAATATATACATATATATTTTTAGAGGTGAATTTTAATACTGAACATAAACGGTATATAACTGCCGATTAATATTGTAAAGTTCAATTTATTTTTCAGAAAGTTGTGAAATTTAATAAACTTGAACAACATTATTCTGATACCTGTGAAATTATAATGATATATATTTATAGACGCCAAACTGTTTACTCCATGAATGAAAGAGCTTAGAGTAAATGTCGTTCTCTCTGTCTTAAGTAGACAACAAAATTGTTGGTCGCAAAACGTAAACAAATAAAAAGAAGAAGAAGGTAGCTCCTAATGTTATTCTTATGGGACAAATTTAATAAATGTTTTTTAAGGGTTTTATAATTACTACTGAGCAGCATCGTCTAGAATTTTAATGAGGTCTTCCCACTGGTGTCATAATTATTTGTGCAAAATTTGAACGCTATAAGTGCGACGGTTCTTGAGTTTTTGGTGCGAACACACAGACACACTCACAGACAAGCGGACAACTTTTCTCCGACTCCGCTATACACGATACATAGATTCGTTCACTTCGTTCACTCATCTATTAATATTTCATATTTTAAGTTAGGATTAGTTTACAAATTGTGTCAAAAAATTACTATAAGTATACATTAAAGCTTTGGTGTTACCGTACTGTATTATAAAGATATGATTGTCCAAAAACAGTAGTAATGGGTCGACACGGTAAGAAAATACGATAATTCGTGATTCGATATTTTCGTATATACGATAGAGCTGAATATCGACATGTTCTTCTTCTTTTCGGGTTTTTTGAGAATCGAGTATAATCTTACGTATATTGATTGATATTGGAACCTTATTTAGTTTAATTAACCACCTTATTTAAGATTTATATTATTTTAACAATGTTTTAAAGCATTAAACGCAAATATTAACATTTAGGGTAATTTTTAGGGTAACTCAAAGTACATTTAGGGTAATTTAGGGTAATTTTAGCCCGCCTTTAGGGTAAAATCGCAACAATGAGGTGGCAACACTGAGTAGAGGTAATTCAAAGAAGTCGCGGGAATTTTCAGAAGTGTAGAGGGTAAGCGACCGCACCGCGAAACACGTGACCACGGCGAAGCCACGCCCTTCCCCCAGAAGGGAGGGGCCGGGACCTAGCTGACCGATTTGAGTTGTCGGTACCAACTTGATATGTGATTTAAGTGAAATGGTACCTAGATGAAAGGTTGCCTAAAAGAAGGCCTCCCCGGGCTGATAAACTGAATGTTCCGGGTTCGAATCCCGCCGGTGGCGCTAACTTTTTATCAACAATTTTTTCATATCAGCGAGTTTGGTTGGTTTGGTTAGGTTATTACAGTTTAATTTTATAATTAAAAAATTATAAAATTGAATTTTAGGCAATTATAATTTTATTTTATGAACAAAACTATGTTTTAGATTAGTAAACCTTTATTCGATTTTTCCATTATCAGCTCGTTTGGTTAGTTTGGTTAGGTTATGACAGTTTAATTTAATAATAGAAAATTATAAAATTGTCTGTTTCTTCAGACGCAGCAGTTAGTGACGTCAGCAGTTAGTGACGTCAAACGGCACCTGAGAAATCTTCCGTGTGCCCCACCGCTGCGAACGCCACCTAGTAATTCAAAACACCTAGGTTTACAGGGTTGGCAACACTTTTACCAACATCTGCTCCAGCTGATCACCAGCTAAGCGAGTGGGGCTGTGGTGTTGATTGTTTATTGTTTTTGTTGATGTTGAATCGAATCACTCAGTACTAGACTTTAGACTTGTAACCACCAGTCCACCACAGACAGACGGACTTCGACCATAGAATAAATAAACACCATTTATATTACTTATACATTTATATTACTTCATCTATGCTTCGACACATGCTTCGACACATGGTGGAAGGAAAATACATAGGTGTGCTATTCCCACATATTCTGACGTCACTCGGATTGCAAACAAAAGATCACCTGATTGTAACTGTCAAATTAGTATATTATGTATTTGTTTTGATTTGGTTGTTATTGTTTTTATTATTATAAAAACAATAACAACCAAATAAAAACAAATACATACTAATTTGACAGTTACAATCAGATGATCTTTTGTTTGCAATCCGAGTGACGTCAGAATATGTGGGAATAGCACACCTATGTTTTTTCCTTCCACCATGGCTTCGACACTAGGCTTTAAACAAGTTGTCAATCCGTGAATCACTAGAATGACTACTGTAGAATGTGTCAGTGAATACAGTTGAGAGTTAAGTTTGGGTAGAGTGTAAATAAATAGACAAGATTACTCATTGTAAGTTAACAAGAATAAGAACTCAAGAAGAAGTCTTATCTATTTATGTCACAGTTTATGAACATAATTTGTTATTTTGTTTACTGTTTTAATTCTGAATTCTGGACATTTTAAAACAGTTTAAAGGCATATAAATGGATTGAACAGACATTATTTGAGACTATTGTAATTTTTCCGACTGTAATGTCAACACTCATCTAAGGAAACAATTTCACAATTTCGTCTAAAATGCATTTCTGAATCGTGAATGATAAGTAAGTACCTACAGTAAACCTAACCATGGCACTCGCTCTCTTTTTTTCTTCCTGGAACTTTTCCATTAGGGCTATTTCCAAAACAGGGCTGCCTTAAAGTTTTATCAACTAGGCCTAAGTTAGACTCGTACATATTGTTGTAAGTTAGTTATGCCTAGTTGAAGGCCTAATAGAAAATAGAAAGTCTATATATTTAATACGCGACATGAAACTTTGTGAACAATAAGGCTTTTTTGTGTTATGATTTAACCCCACATATTATATACCAAAATCTTCGTCTGGGAGAGTAGATGTGCAAACTGGCTTTAGATTTTCGAAATATATCTTTTTAAGGACGTGGGCTGCCCTCAAAGTTCCTTCCATAAGGATAATATCGTGATTGATTTGAATGTTATTATATTCTGAAACAGATGTCAATACATTAGTTAACTAGGGTTGCTCTCAGAGAGGTGAAAGCCAGTTGAGCGGAACAAACATGATTTGATATTTGTATAAGTAACTAAATGTAAAAAGGTCAATAGATGTACTAATGCTGGCTTTATTGATTAAAATTATAATAATTCAGATTTGTTTTTACTACATCTTGTTATTCAGATACCTCTTCCAAAAGTGCAATATGGTAGTTTTGACCAGGAAAATATTACAGTAATTGGAATCTGGTAGGGTAACATCCAAAAAGGGCATTAAAGTATAAAAAAGAGAAAGGAAATTTAACATTCAAATTCAACTGTAGCCTACAACAAAAACATTGGACTTCATTTTTCACCCTTACAATCGGTTAAAGTAGGCTATATTAGAGTATAAAAAAAGCAGTAACTATTAAAAAAACGAGTATTAAAGTATTACAACAGCAGGGGAAATTTGATATTTAAATTCAACTGTGCAACATTAACATTGGTCTTCATTTCAACCCCTGCAATCGGTTAAACTACAGTCTAATATATTTATTGTTAGACTGTGGTTAAACTCAGCTTTCTTTGCTAGAAATAATTTATGATTGTTAATACCAAGTATTCTTGATGGAGGATGTGATTGTAATGTACCTGGAATTTAGGTCTTCTACCATTATTTAGGATGATTTAGAGACGGCATTTTAATACTGTCCTTAATAATACCATTGGCCATTGGATACAGAATATTTTGATGAAAAAGCTGGTTACAAATTTAACATGGGGATGGAATGTCTAGTTGTATTGATAGTCAAAGATAAAACATAGGCCTGCGAAAAATGTAGGGCTATTTTAATGTAAGACTCAAATGAAAAACACCTAGAATAAATGTAAAGACTAAAATGAACTGATTTATCAATCATCTATTTCAATGTGTAAAAACTGCAAAAAGACTTACTTATTGAACAATAAAATAAGATGGCTGAAATGTAGGCCTAAACATAAGTAATAAGTAAACATCGCAGATATTCAGCTGATTTAAGTGAAAACAGAATAATAATAAGAAGGGAAGTCATGCCTTAAAAATAAAATGTAGCCTAGATAATATAATTAGAAATTAGTAGCCTACTTCTGGACAGGCCTAGACGATTACGGTATCCATACCTTGGTTAAAAGTGTACTTCTTTAAGTACAGGTAATTAATTATTTACTTATTACGGTTGTAACTGGACGCATGTATAGTCCGTGGCTTGGCAATCAAATAACAGTATTTATATAGGATAGGCTACTGTTGTCAACATTTTAAATTACTGAATTGTTACCAAATTACTGTTTCAAAAACGCAGATTCCATTTTCAGCCGAGCCATTAAAATGAGGATTTGCCGAACAATTATTAATATTACAGAATAGTATTTAATGATATACAACTTTTCACATTTCATAAATTATATGTTAGTTTTGCTATGGTCAAAGGTCCAAATCCAAATGTTCTTTTCATTTGGGTTTTATTTATGTAGTAATTTGCTATAATTGTTGACTTTATATAAAGTCAATGCTAGAATACAGTAGATGGTTTTTTAAGATCATATGCAAACATTTTTGAAATCGTTTCCCCGTTTAACCAACTATTCCAAAAGATAAAAATTATGGTGCAACACAAATAAACAACTCGATCACCTACCTATAACCTACACTTTACCTCCCTAATCTAACCTCACTTCAAAACACTTAATGTAGTCACGAATACTCATAAACCCCGACCTACCTTCCCCACATGCCTAAATCATAGATCATTGTTCAATCTGCGTTTTATTTAATAAGTTTAATAACTTACTGCACCGTCGATGTAATTCAACATAATATAACCTGTGATGTAGGCTATTATCGGATTAAATATCGATTTCGATGCGGTTCGATATATTGCTTATTAAATCCTGATTTCTATTGGCTGTTTCTAATCAGCTGGCAACACAAATAGGTTCCCAGGAAAGTAGTCACTGGTCCGTATCCCTCCGCACCTTGTTTATGCTCCGCGCATTGAGAAAGTAGTTCCGTATATTTTCTCGATTTTCAGTGAATTCCGCGCCTTAAAAAATGTTTTAACGGCATTTTCTTGTTTATTAAAATCATAGGAATGGTTTAAAAACGTTTAAAAGAAAGGCTAGAAAGTTCAGAAATACCTTATGGTTCTCTTGTTTACATTTTTCTTGTAAACAAAAAACTGTCATATGGCTACTTTAGTCTCATAAGCCTAATGTTAAAATTTGGAAATTTTAAGTTCGTTTTAAATTGCATTAGCATTATCTAATTGAAATTTGTTTGTTTATTAACCATCTCACTATTAGTCTAAGTAATCTTGTTAAGTTTAGCTGAAACGTGTTCTGCCGTTATTGAGTGATGTTGATTTATTTGATTGAAGTTGATCCCAAAGATTATCTAAAAAAAAAATTAAATCCCAGCTGTTTTGTTTGGTTTTGAAATGTAAACAGTTTGCATGTTTTGAAATAGTATATTTCGTACCTAGGGCCGAAAATGAGGTTTTGCTGGCTCGAGATAGTTTTTAAGTTCGAGACGAAGTCGAGAACTTAAATCGATCTAGAGCTGCAAAACCATTTCGGTCCGTGGTACGAACGCTATTTTTCACCACACTGTACTCTATTACCACTATTCACCACTATAATAATGCACACTGATAGTCAACACAACTACAACTTTAAGGTTATGTGAAGAAATAATTTGAGGAATCAGCAAAAATAAAAATAAATAGTTGCTAGGCAACGGTGACAATAACACAATTCTATTGCAATGCTATGGATTTTGATCGTGTATTTAAAATGCATTCATGTTTTAAGTAAGCGGACAGCTGATTTTGCGGCCCCGGCCTGTAAAAACCTGCTCGGTCCCCAAATTAAGATGACAGCTGGCATGGCCAGCAAAACGTAACTTTCAGCCACCAATTAACGTATGTAATACAGCCAAAAACATCATAGTGTGGTGAAAAATAATTAGAAACCCGGCAGCGAAATGTTACCGATAGTACAGAACGGGAGAAAAGTTTTACATTATATTTTTGTTTAAACATGTCAAGGACCCGATGACAAAGAATTATTGCTGGTCGGATACGGCGAGTCAACATACGGCAAGCAATGTAAAACATTTTAAAGAGCCCAGACGAGGAGCTGCGGAACAGTTAGTGGCAACGTGTACTTACAAAATTACACTGACAAATACAAGAACTCAGCAGCATTCACTTGGCGAGATGGCATTAAAATGTCAGAAATGTATTGAAAGAAGAACAAAGAGGACGAGATGAAGGATTTTCATCCTGCTGCCATAAAGGATAAGTGAATTTACCACCATGTCGAGAAATCTATTATATCCAGAGCTTACTTAATGTACCTATGCCCTCTGAATATACAACCGTCTTGTAAACAAAACTCATTATCATTCAAACTGAGTTTTTTTAAGCTTTTTCCTGATATAAGATGATCGTATACCTTTTTAAGTTCCTCGTCCTTTTGTGTTTCTTCTTCAATTAGTCTTCTTGATACAGGCATCATCTCTACTTGATTCATTAGAAACCGTTCATGATCGTCACACACATTTGATACTTCTGTAACAGGAAATCTTGATAAATAATCCACATTAGCATGTTGTGTCGTACTTCGGTATTCAATCGTATAGGCCTAGTCAAAACCCGATAAGAAATGAGCATAATTAAAAATCCTTGATGCAGTCATAGATGGTAAGGTCTTTGTAGGGTTGAAAATGGCTACAAGGGGTTTGTGATCAGTTATTAAAACAAACTTCCTTCCATAACAGTATGCAAAGAATTTCTTTAAGCCCCAGTAAATTCCCACAGCTTCTTTATCTATCTGACTGTATTTGCGTTCTGTTTTCGTAAGCGATCTTGATGCAAATGCAATGGGCCTCTCAGATCCATCCTTGTATCTATGTGATAAGCAAGCTCCTAGCCCTGTAGGACTTGCATCTGTTGCTAGGATTAACGTTTCATTTGGGTCATAGTGAGCTAGAGTATACATTAAGGTATTTGCAATCCAATACTGCTAAAGGAAAGAAGGGAACCAGGCCAGAGACGTAGGAAATGGTGAAGGAAGTAGTCGAGGCAAGCTGTCCGGAGTGTGGGAACTGTTTATGATGATTAGATTAAGTTATCTATAATCTTAAAATTCTATGGGAAGAGAGGAAAACAGGTCCGCGACGTAAGAAGAGGTGAAGGAAGTAGTAAGGTGAGCAGTGTGGAGTGTGGGAACTGGAAACCGTTTGTAGCAGTTAGATTAATGTAGGCCTATCTGCAATGCTGAAATGCTATGGAAAGTGATGAAAACAGGTCCACGATGTAGGGAGTGGCTTAGGAAGTAGTAAAGTATGAGCATTGTTTGAGAACTGTCTGTGGCAGTTAGATTAATGTATCTTTAATCCTTAAATGCTATGAGAATGGAAGGAAACAGGCCCCACGATGTAGGAAGTGGTGAAGGAAGTAGTAAAGGCTGGCAGTGTAGAGTAGGGGGACCGTTGGGCAGTTAGATAAATGTATCTAATACTTAAATGCTATGAGAAGGGAAGGAATCAGGTCTACACACTGTTTT